GGGTCCGCAGAGCACTAAGGGATAGAGAGGGCACGATTGAGATCAATATATAAGCATAGTGAATAACTTTCAAGCAGATTCTATAGTGGAATCCTCGACGTGGCAGCTTTAGACCTAGGTCTTCTTTCCTCGCTAATCTTTAGGGAGTGGTGGTTGGTGGGTTCTCTTGAAGTGGATCGCTCGATGGCGAGGGATGGTCAGAGCCGTAAGGCGGGTGACCACGGTGCTACTGTGCCGATCCCATAGTTTATAACGTGCCGCCACGGTCACCTCGGGCCGTCATGCCGTCTCGACAGAAAGCATGAACTAAATGGGAGATGGACGTTGCCACTACGCGGCGGCGACATTACGGATAGTGTGAATTTGTTCACACTGTACTTCGTAGTGTGATTCAAGAATATTCACCGTGGTGGCCGGCGGCGGCTTGAGTACGGTGGCAGTACATTATAGTGATAATCGCGCTTAATGCGTCGAACACAGTACTCTTTCGAGCGCAAAAAATGACATATGCAGATGCTTACACCGATTTTAAATTTTGTATATTATTTTATTACTTCTAACAAATCATACTTATTCTAACAAAATTATGATATATAATAATAAATTGCTAAAGGAGAATTTTTTATTTGACATTTAAGTACTAAATTATTTTTTGAAATTGGATCGGTCTAGGGGGAGGGAAATACTCGCATTACCTCTCCGTTAAAACCCTGCTTGGTCTCTGTACTACCAGATTCATATGAATGGAATAGAGAGAATGCAAGATAAGTTTTTATCTAAACGTAAGTAAAAAAAAATTGCCGCTTTTAATCTAAACAATGGTTAGGTATATTATCGCAGAAATAATATTAAAGTATCCTGTTAAATATTACCTCATATTCTTAAACTACAAAGATCTATGACAAATAAGTCTTTTGTTTTCAAACTATTGGTATAACTGCTGTGCTAGGACCACACCAAAAACAAAAGTCGGCGAGTGAAGTTGCTGAAATGATTAAAATTTGCGACAACAAAAAACCGGTGGGACCACTTGCAACCGGCAACAAGTCCTCTTTATTCGTTAAGTTGCATGGAGAAATTTTTTTATAGAGTAAAGCGTTCACGGTTTCCTTTGGGAAATTGATCGTGAAGAAGAAAAGACCCAAAATAGTAAGAAACGGAGTAAAATGAAAAAAAGTCATATTGTTGATTGAGCTTAATCATAAAGAAGACAATTTTGGAATACTAGAAATGAATATGCAGATATAGAAATAAGCCACATTCATTTGCGAAGTGCTTTGCAAATTTATAAACCAGAAATTTAAAGTAAACAAGAAAACATTATTCCCGTACATGGTAAAGAACACGAAGGTGGAATTCTGTAACTAAATAGCAATCGGTAGTAATATTCTGGCCTTGACCGTAGAAACTAAACAGCAAACGACAGAATTCTTCATCGCTACCGTTCGCTATTTAATTACAGAGTTCCACCCCTGGCGACAGAAAGTTCCTTATCACTGCACACGTTAGTGTAGTCCATGAACACGGGAAATTCTACCCACCGCGCCGGAACGAGTCAGACGAGTTTGGTGTGGACTCGGAATTACCAGAAGCTTATAGAGAAAATCAAAATTTATGTTTTTAAAAGACAATGTTCATACATTTCTTTTCAGATGCCAAACTATACCTTGCATTCACCTATTGATAAAATCCTAATGCTGCTAAATACCAAACACCCACTTCAACGACATTTTTAATCTAGTTGTCCAAGTTTAAATGGACCATGTGTTTTTATACAATTATTGTTTATTTTTATTTATTATTATAGATGTATCATTACTTGTACCGTTTATTTTATATAATTGGTCATATCCATTAATTTTTCTACTACTAAACCTACTTATTATTATCCTAGTTATATTAAAATAGATCTCTTCTTGTGAAATAAAGGCTAATACACATAAGTTGTAGAATAAATAACTTAAGAGTTCATTTCACTAGTCCGAAAAAGGTAGCAAAATAAGCGTTCGGCATTTAACGTTTTATGTGAAACTGGCTAGGTATTTTTACACAAATGAAGAAGTAAATTAAAGATAAAGGATTATACTATATCCGTATTGTAGCACATTTTTAGATAACTTCTTTATTTTTAAGATTTTGATGGTCAAACATCACCAAATATTCCTTATGTTTGTTATGACTAAATTTTCTTGAAAATAAAGATATAATTTCAAATTCCATTATGATACGGAAATAGATTGAAGTTTTGTAATTACAGTGATATATAATTTATATGGTTTTGTAACAAATTGCTCGCTATTTTATGGCAAATGCGGAAGCTATGTAAACCTTTATCAAGCCTTAATCAAAGCACGTGTGTCTGGAATTTTGGGTGTGGCTTAACACGACAGGATCGGGCTAAGCTTTAGGCAGATTTCTGAAATATAATATATATTTTCTTTGGCCACACACCCGCTTTACCCGACCCCTGAGAGCGACCCGAAATTACAGCGTAATAGACTCTTAAATAAAATAGTCGTCCACAACAGATATGATATAATGATACAGTGTTTCAAGATAAAATACAGTAGACAACATACACATTACAGTCCCTACTGATTAGCAGAGCTGCAACAAGTCAGTTTTAAAATGACTTAAATCTTAAGTCTTAAATCATTTCTAAAATCAAAATGATTTAAATCTTAAGTCATTGAATCCAATTCAACGCAAAGTTATAATGATTTAAGTCTTAAGTCTTTGAGAGAGAGAGAGAGAGAGAGAGAGAGATTGGTTAAACCAATATAATTACCCACGATCGAAGACAACCACAATTCAATAAGTACCTATTTTTTAAATGTTAATATTCATTTTCTTGTATTACCGATATTACCGACTTTATTATTAACTATATTAATAATTTATTGTCGATATACAGGGTGGCGCTCCTCATTCGCCTCGGTGGATTATACGAAAACGGAAAGATGTAGAAACAAAATATTTTATGGGTATATGGGGGCAGACAATGTGCACAATTTAAAATTATTTTGAAATATACAGGGTGTTTCAGAACTAAGATCCATACCAAAGTTATATTTTTTCTTATGGAACACCCGGTATTTTATTTCATTTTTGGATTCTTGGGCCTAAAAAAGGCATTTATTATAAGGGTTAAATATGTTTAAAATCTTTAGTTTTTGAGATATTTAAAGATATTTAAATATGCATGCTACAATAGAATAGATTATTAACACCCTGTGTATTACTTTTCAGAATTAATTTTTATGCTTAGTTTAAAGGTAAAGAAAATAGTTTTACTGAAAAATGGTATTGCTTCCTTAAATTGATACAGGGCTATCAAAAGTTGCTGATCTATTTTAAGGATATATTTTATATAAAAACTTCATTATTTCAAATGCAACACCCTGTATTTTTTGATAAATGCTCTTTCAAACTATATTTAGGGTTTACTATACCTATCTAGGTCAGATTTTGAATAAAAAGCGATTTGTAAATAAAATTACAATCAAGATGGCTGGTGTTGCCATGGTAATTTTCTAGTGACAGTTAGTAACTATTTTCAAAGTCGACATTAGTTTATGGACATTATTATATATAATTTATAACAGTTTACTTAAATTTACCTACAATAGTTTAACAAATAAGTATTCATTATTTTATCACGAAAAATAAAACACTATCTGCTGGCGGAACGAACAGATATGTTACTAGTGATTTTATTTTGTGACGCAAATTGCTTCTTGGCCTCATGGGCTTATACTCAAAGATATTAAAATAGGAATCTTCCTGATAAGCGTTCCTTTAAAAAACTACTTGTCCTATTTCGCAGAGCTGATATTGTGGCTTATAAAAAATCTATTGGGCAGAAACCTGTCGTTGGAAGTGAAGAAAATGAATTTGCCATAATTGGCTCTTTTATAGAAAATTCATATCTACAAGTCATAAATGTAAAATAAATCAAAGAACTACCTACTTTTTCATTTTTCTTGATACAATAATGAATATATATTTAATAAATATCATTTATTAAACTATTGTAGGTAAGTTAAATAAAAACTGATATAAATTTAAAAAAAGTCCATAAACTAATTTCGATTTTGAAAATAGCTACTAACTGTCACTAGAAACTTGCCATGAGGACACTAGTCCTCTTGGTAGCCATTTTATTGAAAAATTGCTTTTTATTCAAAATCTGGACTAGGTAGGTATAGGAAACCGTAATATAGTTTGAAAGAGTATTTGAATCTGCTTCGATTTGTTTAAAAAAATATAAGGTGTTTTATTTGAAATAACGGAGTTTTTATGTAAACTAAATTCTTAAAATAGATCAGAAATTTCTGATACCCCTGTATAAATTTAAGGAAGCAATAACACTTTTCTGTAAAGTTTATTTCTCTACCTTTAAACTCAGTACAAGAATTAATTCTGAAAAGTAATGTACAGGGTGTTAATAATCTATTCTATTGTAGCATGCAAATTTAAATATATTTAAATATCTCAAAAACCAAAGATTTTAAACATATTTAACCCTTATAATAAATGCCTTTTTTTGGTCCCCAGAATCCAAAAATTAAATAAAATACCGGGTGTTCCATAAGAAAAAATATAACTTTGGTATGGATCTTAGTTCTGAAACACCCTGTATATTTTAAAATAATTTCAAATTGTGCACATTGCCTCCCCACATATACCCATAAAATATTTTGTTTCTACATCTTTTCGTTTTCGCATAATCAACCGAGACGAATGAGGTGCGCCACCCTGTATATAGAATAAAACCACTTAAAATAAATCGATGTATTTTCAGAATAACTACAAATAATAAATACTAAAAAAATATGTGTGTCAAGAGCATAAATACACAACTAATATAAAATTAAATTTTGTGGTACTTTGTACAGGGTGTCCCATTTTCGTGTGTTTTCAAGGGTTTCTCGTTTATGAGCAGATGTACAAAGATGCGGTTTTCACATTACTGTGCAATGTGTATAGTTTTTTTATGAAACTAAAGATGGTACAACTTAACAAGTATAGCTAGGGACGTCAGAAATATAAAATAACTAAGTAACTAGTCTTTTTAGTTCCTGAAATACAGGGCAATTTTGAAATTGCAATTCTCGACTCCCCTCGTACCTCGGATATCTTAGAAGAGTTTTCCATGTAGAATTGAGTAGCATGATTAGATTTTTGATGTAAAAATTTTTGATTCTTTAAATATGACCCAAACTTATGTAATATTTTAATGGGATACCCTGTATATTATTTCTTTTAATCATTTGCCTTGTTATGGGCTTTCTAAGAATATAATATATTATACTCTATACTGATTTTAATAAAGTAAACAAGGTAAAAAATTATGATTTTACTTTGTTTATGAAAATTTATTTAAAACTAGACATGACATTTTACTATGACGCATGACGATAGCGAATGCCAGTGATTTTGATCATCATTTATCCATTTTGAAAATTAGTCTTAAGTCAGTTTTTAAAATATGACTTAAAATCAAATGACTTAAGTCATTAAAATAATTTAAATCAAAAAAGGACATAAGTTTTCTGTGAGTTTGCCGCTCTGCTGATCAGACCAGTGGTTACTGGTTACCCTCATATTTGGAACCCATGGATACATCGGTACATTGTAAAATATGACACCTATTTACTCAAATCATGAGATTCTTGTATTACTGTTATTACTAATAAATTTTTTGTCTCTTTTTTGAATTGTTTTTTTTCCCAAAGTCTTCCAGTTATTTATTCTACTTTTTGTATGTTACTAATTTAGCGGCCCATCGACTTGCCTATATTTACAAATAAAATAATAATGGAGGGTCATGGATATTATATTATCTAATGCTGATGTGATCATTCAATTATGAAAAACAGTTTAATATAATTTTATGAGTAGTTTTAAAAACTATTATAAGAAAGAACAAAATATATTATTCCACCCTTTAATCAGAAGGTTAGGTTAGAAGCTTAATAACGATTACATCTTTAATATTAATATAATTATTAGATCATTTTTTAAGTTAGGCCTCCCAGGTCTAGTTATTGATATTTCTATTTTAAGCTGCAAGTAAGAAAATGTTTAGTTTCAATACAATAAATGGACATATAAAATTAAATTGTTAATTGAAGATGATCAATTTACATAACAAAAAAAACTACACATCTGAACTTTTTATATTTTCTAATAAAGGCGCTGTTAATTTTAGTTCTTCTAGTTGTATTATAACTGGTGCTGCTCTATCCTCTTCTGGAATAGAATACCGCCGGTCAATATTAAACGAACTACTGACATCAAGACTATTTGCCATTCTCTCGGGTTTTAGTTTGATAGCAGTTGGTTGCTCGAAGCTTCGCGATATTTTCGGTTTGGCGTTGACTCGTGTTGGTCGAAAAGGCTTTGAAGGTTCTGAAGACTCCAGTGATTCCATTGGTGTTTCAAAACTTATTGTCGGCTGATGATAACTGAAAAATAATATGTATAGATTATGATCGGTTCAGCAAGTCTTCGGTAGCTATATCAATATACTTTGTGTATTTAACCGTACACAGTGCCATTGTCAAATCTCACCAAAATATGCTGACTTTATCTGTAATATTCTAACAAACTAGGTCAAGGTCGGATGGTAACTCCAAATCCTTCAATTTAATAGCGTTAGTAAGAAGTTTTACTTCAAATATGTACATAGTGCACACACAATGTTTTTGCTATATATGGTACTAGGCCCTCACCTCCGAGCCAGAAAATGAACGAACAAAATAGTTTTGTTATAGTTATTATAAACAATTTATTCATAAATATAAATATTTTACATATTTTTGCATCTCTTAAAATTTCTGCTCCCTAGAACACATTACACTTGGCATTATTGACTGAAATTATATAATTTTAGTGATTACAGTTGAGGGTTGGAACCTTTGGTGTTACACAGCAAAATAAAACACTAAATCACCACAATACAAGGTGGTTAGCGAAATACCAATGGTTAGCGAAACGCGCGTCCAGTGTAAAAGTAAAAGTGTTTTGGTGAAAACACTTTTACTTTTACACTGGACGCGCGTTTCGCTAACCATGTTAGCATCATCAGCAGATGATTATAAACTGAGTCAGTTTATAATCAAGTAAAAGTGTTTTGGTGTATTGTAGTGATTTAGTGTTTTATTTTGTTGTTTTGTTATTTTGATAATTTTAGTATACTAATCCAAACTTGTATGACTAAAAATGTATACCTGATGCGCCTCAGTGGTTCACCCCTATAACTTTTTTTTATCTTTCCAGGTAAAAAAACGTAATTTGGTATGTATATTAGTAGTTAATATGACATAAATTAGGATTGATGACGTTTCAATTATTTTCGGTCACTTCCGGAGTTTCACCGAAAATGACTACAACTCTTGATTTTTAAATGGCACCTTTGGTATTTTTTTACTTTATTCGATAATGACACTCTGAATAGAATGGCATATTGTATGTCAACGTTTGACATTATTGCTTAAAAAAATTGTATTTTCAACTTTAATCTAGAGTGCCAAGTCTGTGTTAAAAACACTGATTTTTAATCAAGAAGCCTTGGAAAAATAGATTTGATCGCCTAATGTTTTTAGTGTCTTGGCCGGTTAAAAAAAAATCGTATTTTTAATAATATCTCAATTTTTTTCAAATAGAACGAGGGTGGCTCATTAGCATATTTGGAAAAGGCATTTTTTTACGAATACTTTGATACCACACACTTGGTATATCGAGTGAAATTATCGTTACGAACCGCATGTTACAATTTCAAATAAACCAAATGCGAAAATGTTAATAGTTGACATATGATATGTCATAAGATTTGTTGTACGGCTAGCACTTAGCAATAAAACGATCTTTAATGAGATATTTATAGAAAAATATGATTATTATTAGATTAACATATATTAACATACCATAATATGAATATATATGATCTTAGGAAATCGGATAATCTGGTTTAAATATATATTTTTTCCTGTCTAATAATATATTTTAATAAATATTTTTTGAGTATTATACCTGCACGATCTTTCGTTAACAACGAAAGTAGAAGGCGTTCGACGATCTTGATGTTCAAAACTAATAAAATTCCTATGTCTAGCAGATGTTCTTTCTACAAAGCATGACGATCTTCTACCTTTAGGGCATTGATATGGAGGTCTTTCGACGGTTATCGATGGGCGACGTCGTGATATGAATATTGGTCGATCAGGACGTTCTATGGTATGAGAGATGGTCGACGATCTCGACTGATAATTGGAATAACCGATCCTGCAAAAATCAATATATAAAAAAACCATAGGTCTTGGCATCTATCTTGCATCTATCAATAGATAATAGATACCTCTATAGTTTGATTTTGTTTTTTTTTTTTGGTTGATTTTGGCGCTAGTTTTTACTTTGAAATAGATTAAAAATGGCATAATAAAATTTAAGCTGCTGCTACCGGATATCTGTCATTGTAAAATTATGTATTTGTCATTGCCATGTTGTAAAAGAGGTACATAAAGGTAAATTTTAGATGTGTCTGTTTCTAAAAAATAAAAAGTGCGTTTATCGAAAACTACCAAGTTTCTTTCAAAATTCATATTTTTAGTGCGGTTTATTAAGGATATTCTATTTGCCATCGTTGTGTTTTCCTTTTTATTTTTGTTCTGCGTGAAATAAAATTTACCATGCCGTCCATAGACTTAAAATAAAATATAGACTACACTATTTACATCTAAACGCGGTCAAACAATCTTTTCTGTACACATGTTTACTTCTGGGTTACAGTCAACCGAGCCTTCCTCATCCAGCCTATGTTGTCACGTCTTTAATATTATCAATATTTTTTTTCTTGTTATACACATATATTGAGATATTAAAACAGCATTTTTATAAAGTAGGTTTTAATATTCCATAGATGTATTTATACTACTAAATTATAAGTCGGATACTATTTAAAAAGGATAAGTTCTTTAAAATATGGCAACAGCGATTAGAGGCGAGGTCGCCTATTCATTCATTTATTACCTTGTATTACGCGTCGCACATGTGCGGTAAAGCTTTGTTGCCACTATGTCCCCGGCTGTATTAACGCATTTTCTTACCTTGTAGTCCTTAAGTGTTTATTTTATTTACTTTTTCTGTTCAAGAAGTATAAAATATGGTTCGCCAGCGCCAAATTTGCAAGAAATTTGACTTAAATAATCCATTTAAGTCTTGAAACGACTTTCGACCGGTAGGCAACTCTCAATTTACCCATTAGGAGTCAGTGGCGTTGTTGTAGAAACGCGCTTATTTAGATAATATTTTAGTAAAATGTAAAATCTGAATTTTTTCTCTTATATAATCATTTATATAAAGGTTTTTGTCAGAAAATCATAATTATAACCCTGTTAATAATTAATAATGTTTTTATTAAACATATATTCCGGTTTATTCTAAAATTATCTCCAGAATCTAAAATAACATACAAGAATTTTAAAATGATATTACATTATGAAACAATTTTTTTTAATATACCGGGTTCGTCTCAAAAGTGGCTCACCCCTATAACTTTTTTATTTTTTCAGATAAAAAAAAACAGATTTGTATGTTAGTAGGTATATGACATAAATTAGGATTGATTGATGTATTCAATTGTTTTTGGTCTCTTCCTGTTTCACCGGAAATGATTACATCTTTTAATTTTTAAAGGGACCCTCGGTATATTGCTACTTTATTCGATAAAAAATGACACTCTGAATAGAATGACATATCATATGTCAACTTTTGACATTGTCGCTTAAAAACAAATCGTATTTTAAATTTCAATCCAGGGTGCCATGGTGTTGTTAAAAACACTAAGTTTTAATCAAGGAGCCTTGGAAGGAGCCTGGGTTTCGTGTTGTCTAGGCCGGTTAAAAATGTACAAATCGTATTTTTAATCATATGTCAATTTTTTCAAATGGAACAAGGATGACTCATTAGCATATTTGGAAAAAGCATTTTTTTATGAATATATTGATACCACACACTTGGTATTTCGAGTCAAATTGTCGTTATGAACCGCGTGTTACCATTACAATTAAACCATATGTGAAAATGTCAAAAGTTGACATATTATACGTCATTCTATTCAGAGTGTCATTTTCTATCGAATAAAGTAGAAATATACCGAGGGTGTCATTTAAAAATTAAAAGTTATAGTCATTTCCGGTGAAACAGGAAGTGACCAAAAACAATTGAATGCGTCAATCAATCCTAATTTATGTCATATACTAACATACTAAATCTTGTTTTTTTATTTGAAAAAAATAAAAAAAATATGGGTATGAGCCATTTTTGGGACGCACCCGGTATATTAAAGACATTTATCCACTTCCTATCACCTTCCTTGCTTTAATGGAACAGATTTATGTTTTCTCTAATTTACATAATAAGTTATCACCTGACCAGAAAAAAAAATTACAACAATCATAATTTTTTTTCTCTCCCTGTCGCCGATTCTATTATATCTGTAGAATAGATCCTGTTTTGATTAATATTAGGGGTTGTAAATGTTTGACTAAAATTAATAATTTAATATTAATTTCAAAAATTACGTAATTTCAATTATAAAATTTCTTCTATTGTATTTTATTATTTTTATCCTTTTTGGACTCTAAGACGTTTTTTCTAAACTTTTATTTAAAAAAACCTCTCCTAAATCTTAATAAAATATAACAAAGTTTAAATACGATATATTTTTAATTTAATTATAGCTTCATTAAAATAAAAAAATTACCCGGCTATGATACGGAGAGTTCAGGTGTACTTGAGAAACGAAAGACAGTGTTGCGTTTCTCTTCAGAGTGGTCAGGGAACGACAGTTACGACAGAGACAACCTATCTATCGCTCGTGTCGCACTCGTTATAACCTAAAACAATAACTCAAGAACAACAAGACATTGTCTGACCGCATATTCCAGCTATTTATGAATGAGATGCTCAGTCTATTATTTTAAGTCTATGATGCCGTCACTTTGGGATATTTAGAAGTGCGTAAAGAATGGAACGAAAAATCATTGCTTTCAGTTGCTTTCCGAATTCAAAAAATTGTTTGCTACAACAATATAACCAGAGAAATTTTTTAAAGCTTATAGACATTTTACAACCGAAGACTATACTTTTAATTAAATATACAATTAAAATTAATTAAATTAATTGCCAATTAAAATATACAACCGCATGTTACACACGAATATGAAACACTTCAGATAGTAAATTTGCCATGTAAATTTAGTTATAAAACCATATTTAGTATGTTAATAGTTTATATAGTTTTTAGAAACAAGTGAGGGTTGCTAGATTAGTTGCTAGATTAGACTGAAATCATAGACTCTCCGATGGAAAAAAATTATATCAGCTTCAGGTCCTCAGAGTTCCATTTTGGGGCCTATGTTATTTTTAATATACAATGTGGTCCGAACTGTATTCCGGAAACTTCGGCAGCATATTATGCAGATAAAAATAAGTAAAAAAGTTCGTATAAATGTATGTCCTAGAATGCTTAGTTTCGGAGATACAGGGTGTAGAAGTTTCATTTTTATTTCGATTTTTTCCAAATAATTTCTGAAGTAACGTCAAGATTTGGCTCAAAATTGGTGTCTAGGAGCCTTTTGCAATAAGAAATTTGATTTTGATGCCAATATGACTCCTACTTGTAAAAGGCTGCTTGTGCTTGCTACTTGTGCTTGCTACATATTTTTTAACTGGTTTGAAAAGTAATAAATTTTCGTCCGTACCTGTATAAACCTACTGTGTAAAAAATATACATTAATGACGTTTTTTACGTAAAAAAATCTCTTTGTAAAAATCGCTACGAGTAATGGTTCTCGAGATATTAGGAATCGAAATTATCCATACCTGTCATAAGTATAAATTAAACATGTTAATATACATATTATAACATATTATTATATACATGTCCTGATATAAATTAAACATGTTAACTAAATAGTTATTAGACTGAAATCATAAATTTGAAATGTTTTTGTGTCAAAAGTTTAACAGAAACTGTTTTATCATCATTTTTTCACAGAAAAATTTATGATTAATTTCAAAAATTTGCAAAAATTTATTATTTTAGTCCCAAATTTTTCAAATTTATTATTTCCCAAATTTATTATTTTAGTCAAATAACTATCTACTCAACGTGCTTATTTTTATCAATAATGGCATGTATTATTGACTATTTCCATTTTAAATATCTTGAAAACGGTTACTCGTACGGACTTTCACCAAGAGATCTTTTCGAGGTAAAAAACGACATAAATGTATATTTTTTTACTCAGTAGTTTTATACAGGTATGGACGAAAAGTTATTACTCTTCAAACCAGTTAAAAATATACAGATAGCACCCTCTACAAGTATGAGTCATATTGATATCGAAATCAAACTTCTCATGACAAGAAACCTCCAGACACCAATTTTCATCCAAATATTGACGTTACTTCATAAATTATTTGGAAAAAATATAGAAATAAAAATGAAACTTCTACACCCTATATCTCCGAAACTATATTAGCATTTAGGACATACATTTATACGAACTTTTTCACTTATTTTTATCTGCAGAATATGCTGCCGAAGTTTCCGGAATACAGTTCGGACCACCCTGTATATGCACCTGATTTACCATTCTAACATAGTATGCTGATGATACTTAATAATTACTTCACATCTTTGACTCTTTTGATTTGGTTAGGTAAATAAAGCTTTAGACCTAATACTAAAATATGCAAAAATTTATTCACTAGACATTAATCCGGATAAAACTAAAACTCCTACTTTTTACGTGCATTTTAAGATTTCACAAACATTATATTTTAATATTTTAATTGTGATTTTCTTGGGTATAGGATTTTTTTATTAAAAATTAAATGATTTCAAGGTATTTTAAATCATTTATTGCCTAATCAACTCGCTTCACAATTCACTTATATTTTAAAAATAGTAGGTTAGTCGTGACTGACTAAGTTAAGAAAAAACTCAAAATTAAAGTGAGGATGCAGTCAATAATCACCATATAGGCTAATAAAACTACCTACTTTTTCAAATTTGTCAAGTTTTCGAGAATTTTATTCCCATCATCAGGATAGTTTCTAAAATGTATAAATAAAAAAGGCATTAACATTTTAAAATTGTATAAATGAAAAAAAAAACTTACAACTGAGTCAATTAGCAAAAAAACATCCTTTGCACAAAAAGGCCTTAAAAACTAGCATCGTATGACATTGGACTACAAGGATATTTCCTTTATAAAATATTAAAATACATATCCAACGATATTACTTTTCTTTTAAACACAAACAAAAAGATTTTTTTTTAAATTTAATTTTTACATTGTTATTTCGAGCTCGATCAAACAGTGACTGTTTAATAAATAACAGACTTTTTCTCCCATAATAACATTTACTTCTTGTACTGCTCTTTTTTTATACAAACCAACAACCATCCACGGTTAAAAACTTTAAAAATATATTCATTGAATTTATTTTACACTATTAAGGCTAAAAAACAACTTTTGAAACTTGTAGAATTACATAACACATCTTTTATAACCACGGAAAGGCATGCTGGTATGCAACCAACACCACAAGGCTATACTATACGGAGAGCACAAAAAAAAATTTAATCTTTACAAAAAGGCCTTCCCTTTAAAAAAAAGGAAAATCTCCCTATTTTACTTTGTAGCATTTTCTTAACAAGGAAAAAATACATTTTAATACTATAAATAATGACAATTATATAAGATCTTCCCTTTTACCCTTGAGTGAAAGGAAACAACGTGTACCACCGAGCAAGACATGTCAAGTACTCAATCAGTTAAATTTACAACCCACAACATCATTAAACAACGAATTAACTAGAAAAAGAAAGAAAAACGGAAAAGAAAAAGAGAGAATCGAACACCCACGGTGTTAGGAACGATTATGTGTACACTGATTAACTTTGATAGATTTATGTAACTCCAAAATGTAATTATATATATTGCTAAGGTTCTGTAAATCAGTTTCTTTATTTAAACAATTCTTATCATAAAAAATATGTGTCATTTCTAAGAACAGCCGCTTATAGTACTTCGATTCCCTCTCAAGAATTACAACGTCCGAAAACCTCATTTGATGGTCTGTTTTAATACAATGTTCAGCTAAGGCACAGGGCATAATGCTTCTTTTACAATCACTCTTATGAGATGAAACACGGCCAGATAATTCTCGAAAGCTTGAGAACTTTGAAAAAGTAGTTTTATTAGCCTATGTGGTGATTATTGACTGCATCCTCACTTAAATTTTGAGTTTTTTCCTTATATTTTAATGTATATTTAAGTCTAATCATTAATAAATAAATTAAATGTTTTATAATGTAAATATTGTGTTGTTTTAGTATTCTCAATAGAAATAAATTTAAGCTACTAGCTCTAATTAGTCTTATGCTTTGTAATTAGTAGTTTAACTGTCTATTAGTAGTTTTACTAACCTGCAAGTGAAGTAGTAGAGCTGTGATCAAATACACCGATATTATGGATGTCTGTTGCCGACTTCACTCTTCGCGGTGGTGGATTTAAAAATATGGAGCTACCGACAAAGACGGAATTCTGACGAGGTCTTCTAATAATCGGTGATGGTAAAACGGAAAGTGGATCAGTTAAGGCGTTTACGTTGTACTTGGAAAACGACATGCGCTGCTAAAAGACTTTTTGTTAGAGTAAAATATTTAAAATATTTTGTATTTAACATAGTTTTATCACAGCTTATTCATTACCAGCCTGCCAACTCACGATCATTTGATGGGACTCACGTTATTAAACAAATCGGATTTTGAGCTCTATTAAAGGGTCGCATAAAAAACTACCGGGACTGCCGCATGCCGCCCTGAATTCCGACATACAAGTATACGACTCTAGTAGGTGAAACGCACCTGCTTGTTTTTGAGTATCCACCCAAAAACAAGCATTAATGACCAGGTGGTTATTTGATAAGCTGTGGTTTTGTGATAATTTCTTGTAGTAGTTTACTTGCACAAAATAATCTGCTGATGTGTGCAGAATATGGTTAGCGTGCTTCGAAAGTGATACCAATAGTGTATAATTGTTTTGCAAACTGTGTAATTATGTGATATAACAACGAAAATATGAGTATAATAATGTGTAATATTGTAATATTCTGTTACAATTAGAGCCTAGATTATATGCAAAATTCATATTTCTACTACACGTTTGCATGTAATCCAGCTTTTATATGTGTAATATTTTTTATACATTCCCCGTTCACATTCAAGGAAAGGAAGAAACTATTAAAATTTGAACCTATAATATAATTATACGTACGTATTATTGCTTTTTTGGTCTTATATATTTTAGGAAATGTTATTATCGAGGATTTGTTTTTCAGAATTTAATACCTACTGTATTTTTATTTGTCAGCATGATGTTGCAAAAGTACTAAAAATGTTTAATATAAAAAAAATAAATTGCATTGATAGGAAATGTGAAAATATTTCAAATATTAGGTACGCTACTACGTAACAATTAAGTATAACCACGCTAAACATAAATTTTACAAGTAATATGTGTATAAAAAATGTCTATACCTATGGGGCGGATTCAACTCTCCAAAAAATCCTATATGGGTTTTTCGATATTGCAAGAAAATCTACAAAATAAAATAGTTATTTTATGTAAACACTTCTGCGTTAATCCCAAACGGAAACTACTTGTCAGAAGTTAGGTTTAAAAATATACAAATTTGCCTAACGAACGTTTCGGAATGTCCGTCGTCGGAAGCAAAAAAATACAAAGAATAAAGAAAAAAAACTATTTAAAATATTTAAATTGGTGAAACATCTAGACCCTTAAATGTTCGAATTAAAGAACATAAAGATTATTTAAGAAAGGGAAGATTTTCTAAGATTTGTCAGCATTCATGGGACACAGGACACAGAATAAATTTTATTAACGCCAAAATTATAAAAGAACTAAAACTTGTTTGGAAAGCAATTTGACATTCGTGACATCAGCACTCCGGCAGTCTAACGTATCGCTAATTGCCATTCGCAGATATATTCCAGATACGTATAGTGAACAAGTGAACCCTTCGCAATGTTAAATAATTTTGATATTTGATTTTTATCGTGATGGCTTTTTATAAAAGTGAAGAATTTAGTAAGAAAAATATTAATGATGAAGATGAACGTGTACGGATTCATGAATGGTCACGATCACGGTCACGACACTATAGAAATGTGAGGTATAGTCTGTGAAACGAATAACTTTGAATTTGACAGTTCCCGCGGGCTTTTCTAGTGTTAATTTTATTAGGTTAGCAACTTGAGGCCATGCTGACGCAATGCCGTCTCAAATAGAAAAGCCTCGAAGCGAGATTAATGACGTCACGCTAGTTATATATACTACTATAAATATATATATATATAATACTATAAATACTACGGATTAATAAATATGTTGTAGAATACATGGAAAACATAATAATTCCTCGTATTTTTGGTTTGTATTTTAAAAATGATATAGTTTACATGAAATATACATAATATACAGTTAATAAATACAATATATATATATATATATATATATATATCTATTTACAGTAATAAATTGTGCAAATTTTCGCAAATAAACTATGAACCATACAAATGCAGCAAATGTTTTACAATATACAAATAATGAATAGGTACATAAGATAATGGGTAAAATATAAAATATATTTTAAATTTTGGGGTTTGAAAATCGATATAATTTAACAAACAACATTCAATATCAACTACTTACTATGGCTGAAATCGTATTCCATAGTCAATGTAGATAGTTTTAGTGTTAAGAATAATAATTTAAAAAAATACGTGGTCATCTTTTGACAAGTTTATATTAGTTTATTAATTGCAGTAAACGTTATGTGGTGTGAATATTTTATATGTAATTTTTTGGATTATATTCGACACTATTTTTTTCATATGACACAACACTGATGAAGGCTATGATGTTAGCCGAAACGTTTTTTTTAACCAAAAAAAAATAATGAAAAAACAAATGAAAACTTAATCAGCGTTTTTCCCGAACCTAAATCCCAAGAAAATAAAAAATTTTAGAATAATTTTACATATAAAATGACAGCGATCTTTATTTCATAGCCATCGCAGCAGCCTTTTTTCCATGATATTGTATTATTTGCAAATATAATTTTTCGAACATTGATACTTGCAAAATATACATATTTTTTTTGAGAATGCAAATAATAATACATCACTATTAGTAGATATTAAATGTTTTTTGTTAAATTAGATCGATTTTCAAACCCCAAAATTTAAAATATATTTTACATTTTACCCATTATCTTTGTACCTATTCATTATTTGTATATTGTAAAAACATTTGATGCATTTGTATGGTTCATAATTTATTTGCCAAAGTTATTTATTACTATAAATAGGTATATATATTGTATTTATTAACTGTATATTATGTATATTTCATGTAAATTATATCATTTTTAAAATACAAACCAAAAATACGAGGAATTATTATGTTTTCCATGTATTCTACAACATATTTATTAATCCGTAGTATCTAACTAGCGTGACGTCATAAACCTCGCTCCGAGGCTGTTATATTAGAGACGGCATTGGTCTGATATTTAGAAATGTCAAAAGCTGATGACATTTTACTTTTGACAATTGTGTTGATTTTTGTAAGAAGAGGAAGAACTGTCACTTATTTTATTATTTTCCTTTTCTATTTCACGAAAGTAAAAAGAGTTACCTATCTGATTCGTTCAGGCACTCAATTTAAAGAATATCATTAACTTTTTTGACAGAGGAATTTTATATTTACCATGTTGGTAAAAAATAACGGTCAAAATTCAAAGTTATTCATTTTATAGACTATATCAGAGACTATATGTATGTATATATACTCGTATATATAGAATTAATGGCATTAATTTGCAATAGCACCTCGAACCCACAGTTTCATTATGGAGCCAGATTAAACAAATCAGAATGAGTATTATGTTACCGTAAAAGCCCGAATATTGGTTAAACGTAGGGTTACCCACGTAGGAGCCCGAAATATGCAAAAAAGGTCACTTTAGGTTAAGTTTAGATTAGGCCTATATTTTTATTAATGCAAAACCAACTAAAACCTAATTCTAATATAACCTAAACTCACTCCCTCTTTTGCATATTTCGGGCTATTACCTGGGTATTTCTAGGTTTAACCAATATTCGAACTTACGGTGTAAATTTATGGACGGTCCATAAATTTAAATTCGCCGTACAAAAAATAAGTAATAGTTACTGTAGATAAAAATAAATTAAAATATAGTTCCACGATAATTCAGTTTGCAGCTTCTTTTCATCATACCTAGTAAAAACCCGTCACAACCACTACTCATAGTATGTATGCCTATGTATTTTTAAACATCATTATGAGATTTAAGTCATAGGTGCCCATAATATGAGTAGCGGTATTGACGGTTTTTTGTTATGATGAAAATGTTGTGTGATATGAAAAAGCAACAAAATATATTATCGATTGCAGCAACTATACCTAGTTTTACATTCAGTATGTCCAATTAATATAGAAAATTATTTGTTAGCTTCTTAAACAAAACAGACCCATAATAATTCAAATCTTTATCATCCAAGACTTCCAAGAATTATAGAGTAATCTCACGTCAAAACTTTTTAAAATTATTGCATGCCTTAAATGTTTGCAAAATTAACAAAAATATGTCTTTGATTACCTGCAATTAATATATTTGGTCCAATTTATCAGTTCTGCATCATATCCGAAATTCAGATTGTGTGTGACACAACGAAGAGTCAACGTACAACGTGAACGATAAGAAAATGGCAAGTAAAAAAAATTGTAAAGTCTTAATTACTAATTACACAGTCTTGAGTTCTCCTGCCTAAAATCTATATTGCCTTCCCTAAGATTTTAAATATAAATGATTGAAATTCATACAAGTTTACCACAATTTAAACTTAAGATAATTATTTAATTATTATAAATCCATAGTTATATTAAAATATAACACTTACGAAGTTACTAAATATTAACTATTTCTACTTAATCATTTAATAATTCTGATAAAAACACGCTTGATTATTTATTTTAGAAATCATACGGGCTATAATCATTAATATGACTATATTAACAATACTTAAATCAAAATTTATTTGAAGGAATGCTACTGTATTACAATAAAATTGTAAAACAAGTATGTAATAATAACTCGGAATAATTATTAAAAACTGCTCATCTTGATATAGAGATCTCAAAGATCTGTTAGCCGATTTTATTGAAATTTCGCCGTGTTGTGAAATTTAATAAGTTAGCAGTAATTAAATGATAATTATTATTTACAACAATATTTAAACGATAAAAACTTATCCCAATAAATATTTGGCACCGCCTTGAATTCATTTGTTTTACGTTGGCGGTGGAAACCATGCAAGCTTTTTCTTTGTCCTAAGTTGTTAATTAAAAAAATAATTATCATATAAAAAAATATAGGTCCTAATAGCCTAAATTTTATCAAAATATATCAGCAGATCCGATGAGACCCGAATATGTTTTGGAACTTAATGATTTAATTAATTATTCCCTTTAATGCATCGATTGTGCGCATTATCCTACGCGCTAAGAAAAAAATATTGCATTAGTCTAAATTTATTATTTATTTATGTTATTCCGCTCTTTCACGTATAATTTGCCCCCTGCTTCTCATACGGAAAGAGTTAGATTAAAATAGCCCAACTGTACTTAACAACCCATGCCTTGACGCATATTCTTTTTTATAATAATATCGGCTTTCAGAGACTAAACGTCCATATCCATAAAATAGTTGGCCCACACTAATAAGACCTCATTTCGGCCCTCGGACGGCCTTGCTATTCAGCTATCGACTTACGTGTTGACAAGTTGATTAGGCAGGTTAATGAACTCCATGTCGCCTCTAGCATGTCGTTTTTTCAAAGATGGGTCCCATATAAACGCGGCCAGAAGTATTTTCAATACTAAAAAACTATTTAAAATATTTAAATTGGTGAAACATCTAGACCCTTAAATGTTCGAATTAAAGAACATAAAGATTATTTAAGAAAGGGAAGATTTTCTAAGATTTGTCAGCATTCATGGGACACAGGACACAGAATAAATTTTATTAACGCCAAAATTATAGTAAAGGAAGCGATAGCCTCTAAAAAGAAGGCTTTTTACAAAGGCTAAATCCAATCTAATAAAAATAAATGTATTGCCCATGCATCTGTAGATGTTAATAATGTATGGCAATCCCTTTTTTGATTTTAAAGAACATAACATACGTAAAAATTAAAAATAGTCATACAAAAAGTTTGGGCTTTTTGGTTTTACCTTATTAAGTAATTATTGTTATCAGGTAGTAATTGTTAATTTTGAAGTTTAACTTGATATAATGCATAGACTAATGTCATGTACTAGAGATAGATTGGACACTGATATAAAACAAATGGGTTGGCATTTAGAGCCACCTGGTGAACTAGACCATAGACAATAATCAACATAGGGACTGTCATGTCATCTTCATATATAAATTAGAAACCTGTACTTTAATGTCTTTTGCGCAGTCTGGCGATGCGGAAGAAACTAAATTTGGAGTTATATAAAATTACCATTGAGTGTCTAGGGCATGATATAATGTCATTTTAACAGAACGTCAACGGTTTTTGTAGACGTATCTGTTTTAAAAACTAAAGTGTTCTCGAATAGTTGAATTTAAATATTTTAAATAGTTTTTTTTTCTTTATTCTTTGTATTTTTTTGCTTCCGATGACAGAAAGAGATAAACTTTCCGAAACGTTAAGCATTTTTTTGTTCGTTAGGCAAATTTGTATATTTTTAAACCTAACTTCTGACATGTAGTTTCCGTTTGGGATTAACGCAGATGTGTTTACATAAAATAACTATTTTATTTTGTAGATGTTCTTGCAGTGGCGAAAAACCCATATAGGATTTTTTGGTAATATGTGTATGTATACAAGATGTTACACACAACCCCTTCCATTAAAAGCTGTTTAAGATCTATAAAACAGATCTGAATATTACGAAATAAAACTTATTCGAGATATTAACTTCCTATATCAAAAAATATTTCACTCCACTTTATGATGTATAATATGATTTAACAATATTTGCGAAATATAAACAAATATTCAATACCAATTAGACTTTACTTGCTAAATTGTCATATAACTTTCTAAAATTGTCATAGTAACGAAATCCTTGAAATGAGAATACGACTATAATAATAGAATTATTAATTTTAAAATAATATAATATGAAATAACTCTGCTAAACAAAGGTTTCGGTATATGAACATGATATATGGTTTAAAAGCAGTGTTATTAATTTTTTAATATTTTTTAAATAATATATTATAGGGTTAAATTTAAAATAAGAGAGATTTGGGCAATTTTATAACAAACGGATATAATTTCTTCCGCTCCCTGTGTAATATCCAATCGGTTGATGCAGACAGATCGAATATATCGACTTTCGTTAACTTAATAACCCAAGTTCCAACTTTAAAAATGTTCAATTTATGATTCTACCAATGCTTATTAAAGATCGTGTTTTTGCCAATTTTACACATGTTTTATTTTTAATTCCAACTATTAGAGATAGGAATAGGTTAGTTAAGCAGAAAAATTATGAGATATGAAATAGTTTCCAAAAATTGTAATTTATATCGAGTGTTCCATTTAAAACAAGAAAGATTCTATCACTTTACAAGCAATGGGGCAACATTGTTACGCTGAAAATATTTTAGATAGATGGAGTAGGTGCCTATAAGTAAAAATTCACACGTTCTCCATAAACGTCTAACCTATCATCGCCGTAAATCACCTTATCAATACAGGCTGGGGCTTAAATAAAAATGCAAATATTTCTAGGGGTAGTATATTTCGACCCCAGAAACAAGTCTATGATATTTTTTTCGCGAAAACCTTTTTTTGAAAATTTGGAATTTTCTGAAAAAAAAATTTGGATTTTTTTTAATATTTACTTAAAAAACATGTCTCCATAATATGGTAACATAACTAGTAGATTAAATTGATAAGAAGGAAAACCTAGAAAAGATCTGGTGGTTCACAAATTTTAAGCAAATTTTTTTTTATAATTTTAAAAGTAAAATATCTTTATTATTTTGGACTTATTTGAAAAAAGTAAAGAGAAAATACGTTTGTTCTTTTATCGAAATCTACCAGCACTAAAAATATTTGCACTTATTTAAGGCTTACCCTGGATAATGTTATTTTTGATCTCAAGTTAAATTTGAAAAGCAATTAAATTTTATATCGAGCATACTCAGAATGTGTATAAAATTTCATTCAAAATTCAAAATGTATAAAATATAAAAGGAAAGTTAAACCGGAAACGGAAAAAATATTTAACGACAAAATTGAAAAATCTACTCATTATCTTCTAGCATATTCGGATTTGTATCTAAATTAGTTCGTTAAAAAATAAAGGGTTGTGTGAAACACCGTGTTTTAATTCATACTCATAATTCATACTATTAATAACACAGGCACTAGAATAAGAATATCTAGCGGTGAAACCAACACATTATGCGAACTATAAAAGCCTTAAGCCGCTACTAAGGTTTGACCTTTATTTTTACATAGTCCACATACTGTTGTCGGTTTTTGAGCCTTCGGCAGCGTGTTGCTCACTTGATGATTGATGCTAGGGGGGCTAAGGGGTGCCAGTGGACATGACGGTCTGTGCGGCTGCTGGTGGAATTTCGGTTGATAGGGCTCCAACATTCGAATTTTTCCCCAGCGGTTGAAGAACAGTGCAATGGCTCCTATCCAAATTAGTAGAACAAGGACCACAAGCAGAACTTCCTCGACACGGACTTGGACTACTTGACCATCTGAAAGTAAAAAAATAATAATCAGGTAGCTCTAAAGGTAGGTTCTTACACACGCGAATTGCGAATATCGTAAAATAAAACCGTCTTATTTATGTAATTCATATAATAGCGAAATTAGCAATTAATTCTAGGGATATTTGTGTTTTTAAACGCATGTGGAAATTTTCCCTTGAATAAAGAATTTTGTCTCCATCCAGTTGTGATTTTAGCATATACATAGGTTTATTTTTATATATTTGATATATCCATTATCTTCTACCTTCTCTATAAAAACCATCACAACATCTTTTCCTACCAGAGTAATTTGATTTAAGGAGCTAATGATAGAAATTATTTACCTAAGAGCGCAGGTTGGTCTCGCGTAGCCAATAGTGGCGGTACGGGGGTGCCTCTCGCGCCCCCTTTTGGCGTTTGGGGCGCTGAAGCCTCTTCTCGAACCTCCACTTCCATGCCATGGAAGCCACTGTGGCCCCCGTCCCACTCTAAAAATATTAATTTTATGATAATATTGTACACTCTAAAAGAAAACGCTAATAAATAATTTAAATAAACAAATAAATAAATGCCTTTATTGTCAAAAAAAAACAATTTGTAGGTAAAGGTAAACTAAACAAACAAAAGAGAGTACAAAACAGGTATAAAACTAACAAGTATAAAAACAAAACAGTTTACAAATTTCATTGTCAGTCTTATTGTTTAAAATAAATATTTACAAATGTTAAATGTCAAAGAATAAAAAAATAAAAATAAGATTCAAAAATATTTAGTAAGTTTATAGTAAATATAGTAATAGCAAATATTAGACCAGTGTTTACAAGATCAAATTCGATTTTCAAAATATCAAGTCATTTACGGCGGCGGCGGCGTAGAAAGCCTTGTCTAGTAAATAAGATTTCAATGCTTTGCGAAATGAAGAAAATGATGTTATGGATTTGATTTCAAATGGCAGATGATTGTGCATTTTTTTCGAGTTGTATAATATTGAACTTTTAACTCACTCCGAGCGTGGGCTAGGTAGATAAAGATCTTGCTCCGCGTTCCTGAGTGGATAAGTGTGAGATGGCCATTCTTGAGAATCTGATACAAGCTTACGTATTAGGAAAACGAATTCAAATATAAATAAGGAAGAGTCAATATTTTTAATTTTTTAAAAAAGTCCTGGCAATGAGGTCTGGAGTGAATATCGAACAGCTCTCTTCTGGAGCTTGAAAAGCAAATTGAGTCGCAAAACACGTACCCCAGAATGGAAGGGCATATCTAAGGTGCGACTCAAAAAGTGCATAATAAACAGTTCTAGCCACGGAAAAGTTAAGCTCCTTAGAAACAGATCTTAATGCAAAACAGGCAGAGTCAGCATGTCCCATTTTAGAGAATTGTCTACAACAAGCCTTAAGAACTTTACAGATTTTGAGACGTCAATACATACATACAGCCGTTACTCGCTGACGAGTATTCGACACACATAAAGAAGATGGTCACGCAAGGCGTTTTCTTTCATGAGCTTTTCTGTGACTGAAAAGCCCGATACGTGATATTATCTGCCTACCGCACTCCGGACATTAAAAAATCTCATTGCTTTGTTTCCTCTTTACTTTTTGATTATCGCTGTTAACTGAGTTTACAAGTCTTCTCCATTGAGTTCTATTGTGAGCTGCTGTTTCTCACTCATTCTGCATGTTAATCCCCTTTAAGTTTTCGTGGAAAATGTCTTTGTACCTTTTCAGTTGTCCACTCGGCCTTCTCTTACCGTCTACAAGCTCACCGTAAAGCAGAGATTTTGGTATACAATTTTCTTGCATTCTGCATACGTGACCAGCCCATCTTAAGCGGGATTTTGTAACCATGACTCCAATACTCTCGCAGTTAGCATTTTCAAGGACCGATACGTTTGAGACATGATGGAACTACCGGATACTTAAGAGTTGTCTAAGGTGTCTCTGTTGCAACTTGTTTAATGCGTTTATGTGTCGGTGATACGGCACCCATATAATTGCTCGGTACACTGCAAGTTTTATTTTTGTACTCAAGTCATGATTGTAGAATACCCTGTCTTTTAATTTCCAGAATGCCCTTGAAGCGCTACTAATCCTGTGCTGAATTTCAGAGTCAATATTGACCTTTTCCGAAATCAAACTGCCAAGGCAATTGAATTCCGCCACTTATTCCAATAGTTCTCCGATTTTTATAGCATTGTTGTGATCTTCCGGGGGAGTGCACATGATTTTGGTTTTGTCGATGTTTAGCTTAAGGCCCAAAGCCTCGTATGCCAAGGGGCGTTATTCTGTACAATCGTCGTTATCGGCAAGTTACCGACAGCTATCGGTACGTACGGCCAATGAGCGTCGTGTTAATTGTTGTTGTCATTGTTACCGATCAGATATCGCAAATTTGCACCGACGACTCTCGGTATCTCTACCGTGCGGTTGACAAGGGCACGGTAGAGATACCGATTTTCGTCGGCACAAATTTGCGATATCTGCCATAGGACCGATCGGTAACTATGGCAACAACAATTAACACATTGTTACTATATACAAATACGTATCGAGAGCTGTCGTAACTCACCGATACCGACGATTTTACAGAATAGCGCCTCAGGTATATGTGTTCGACATTTCTTGTAATTGTTGTACCGTGTTTGCAACTAGAGCACAGTCGTCAGCGTATTGGAGTTCTGTGATGAATTTTGTACGTGTTTTTGCTCTGAGTCTTTTTATGTTGAACAGGCCGTCGTCGTATCTGTATCTAATACCCAATCCTCTCTCCTGTAGTTTGCTGTCCACTATAATGGAGAGCGCTGCCATGAATATGTTGAATAGGAGAGGCGCTAAGACACATCCCTGCCTAACTCCAGTATTTGTTAGGAATGGATTGCTCAGTGATCCATGATGTGACACTCTGGACTTGTTGTTGTTATGGAGGCTTTTACACACTGTAAGAAATTTGTTGGGTACTCCGAACTTTTTCATAATTGCCCAAAGCGCATCTCTGTTCACAGAGTCGAAGGCTTTTGTTAGATCGATGAATGCAACATAAAGTTTAGACTGCTGCTCTTTTACTTTTTCTTGTAGTTGACGGATGGAAAAGAAGGATTTTTTCTATATATGGGTGCAGGCGGTTTGACATAATTTTTGCAAGAATTTTTCCGCCGATAGCCAATAGTGAAATTCCCCGGTAATTTTCGCAGTCTGATGCACTTCCTTTGTTCTTAAATATGTTCACTATATTCGCGTTGCGAAAGTCCTGAGGTACCTCTCCGCTTTCCCATACGACATCAAAGAGAGCCTTAAGATGACCAATAAGTTCTTTACTTGCACACTTATAGATTTCCGCCGAAATCGCGTCACAGCCAGCTGATTTGTTGTTTTTAAGCTGTTTTATGGAGATCTTTATTTCCTGTTCTGTTATTGGGATGTCTAATACATCGAGGCTGTTATACTGAGATATTGTGTTTAATGCTTCCATATTGGGGTTGTTTTCTTGGTTAAGGATATGGCTGTAATGTTCTTTCCAGCGATTTCGGGTTTGTTCTTCCTCTTTTAGAAGTTCGTCATTTTGTGCCATGATTGGGCAGCTTACCTTCTTGGTTGGACCGTATACTTCTTTTACAGCCTCAAAGAATTTACGATAATCGTGATGCGTGGCGTACTCTTGAATCTGATTCACTTTTTCTGACCACCAGTTATCCTTTACTTGGCGCAAGTAAAACCAAAGTCTACCAGTCTCGGATTATGTGGATTTGCAGTGACTGCTTGATGTGCTCTATGCTTTTGTTCCAACAAAACCTGTATATGCGGTTGATTTTTGTTAAACCAGTCTGGTTGTTTCTTTTTGTTCGACTTTTCCAGTACTGCTTCGCTGGTTTTATGAATCGTACCCCTTAATTGTGTCCAGCCTTGTTCAGCTTCCAAGATTGAGATTGAAGTTGTCGGTGGAAGTGATTCTTTGATGGCTTCCCGGAGGGCGTATTGTTGTTCTCTAGACCCCGCATGTTCAATCTGGTCATGTTGTTTTGCATTTTACAGTGTGGATGTTTGGGTTTTAACTGGATTTTCATTTTTAAAATTAAAAGTCGGTGGTCAGTGCCGCATTCGGCATCTATTCTGGCTTTTGTGAGCATAACATCTTTTAGATGCGTCCTTCGAACGATTATGTGGTCTACTTGATGCCAGTGGCCTGATCTAGGATGTTTCCAGGTACCTTTGAACTTGTCCTTCAACATGAACCACGTATTGGTTATGCAAAGATTATACTCTGCGCATGTTGTTAATAAGCGTTCACCATTGCTATTTAGGTTTCCTATTCTATGTTTTCCCAATACGTCAGGCCATATTTCCTGTTGTTTGCCAACACGGGCATTAAAGTCACCTAGCAAGATGATCCGTTCGTGCTTTGGAATTCGTTAGAGTGCGTTTTGTAAAGCTTGGTAAAATTTATCCTTATCCTCAATTTTACAGTCAAGGGTGGGAGCGTAGACACTAATGATGTTGACGTAAGTTTTGTCTGATATGGGGTACCTTAGGGTCATAAGACGTTCGTAGACACCAATAGGTACTTCTGTTAACTTGGTGGCGATTTCGTTTTTGATCGCAATGCCTACGCAATGAATTCTTCTGTGTGTTGCGGGGTGACCTTTCCAAAAGAAGGTGTAATGGTCCTCAGTGAGACTATCTTCATCCGCAAAGCGGGTTTCGCTTAGAGCGGCAACATCTATATTTAATCGGTGGAGTTCCTGTGAGACCAGTGCTGTTCTTCTCTCTGGTCGATTTGAATTTATCTTGTCCAGTAGAGTGCGGACGTTCCACGCCGCAAACGTGAAACATTCATGTTTTTTGTTTCTCCGATGATACGCTCGAGTAGGCACCCCCTCCCGGAGATCCGATTGAGGGGGTATTTTACCTCCGGACGATAATTTTGTCCCACTCGAATGTTACATCATTGCTGTGTGTAAGCTGCGTGAAAAGGTTTAACTGTGGCGGTTACGCTGCCGCACAGTTTTGGCTGCAACTGTAGCACGGGATGGCTATGGCACACTGAGGACCGCGACGATAGTTCCCTTGTGCTACGTTCTCGGCTAGCTAGGTGTAGTTTACTACTCCTTTTCCCCAGAAGATGGTAAGTCTGAGGGTTGTATAAGGTTATACCGCCTATACTCGGACGTCACAGCCTCGTTTATGTAAATAGGGTGCACCACGTGAAGGTGAGATTGACTTCTGGGTAAGCTAGGCTATATGTATCGCTTCAATACCCCTTGCACCCCCGAGACGTCAATGGTGGTATTGTTAAGTACAAAAGGCTGCAGCAGGTTTTTATACGACAGAGCTTTAGAAATGTTGAGACTCAGGAGGTTCGAATCGCATCAAGATTTAATGGTGATTAAGTCATTTGATATAATCCTATGAAGTGCCGTGACGTCCTTGTTGCTCCAAGTGAAGCTAGTGTCGTCCGCAAAAAGGTATATTTTACCACTGATGTTTATGTC